TGTAGTCACTGCTTGGTCACAGCTTAGCTACCCAGAGTGACCGAGTAGTTGAACCTGTGGGTTCGGGACCATAGTCGCAGAGAACATCAAGCTCAATTGGCATAACATACTACACAAAACATTGTTCTACCTCCTACTGTGGTGAGTAGCGACTGGGATCTTAAAAGCTAGCAAGCTGCCATCTAGATGCAATGATCGGTCTCTCCTCATCCAGAGCAAAAAATGAAGAAAACTAAAAATTCATGGAAACAATTAGTCCTAGCAACTGGTACACCATCCAATCTGCAGCCTATATGACTATGAGAAGAAGTAGATGGTGCCCGGCTACTACTGTCAACCACTTGGAAGAGGATCTATGTAGGAGACCCTGGATAGAGAGGGAGGACAATATGGAACAAAACTTAAAATCATTTGGAGAAAAAAAAAAAGGGGGGATGGGGCCAGGCTTGCTGGTCTGATAGAACCGGTGGAACCACTGAGACTATGGCCACTAGCTGCCCTTCAGGTCTGGAATTGAACCCACACCTGTGGCTTCTAGCCAAACAATAGACAGGCATATGAGTTAAACATTTACCTGAGGTAGATACACTCCTTGGAGAGAGCAGTCATGGGAGAAAGAAGGGCTGCTTATGCACAGGGAGACAGCTCAGGGCACAGGAGTGCATGGAGGGATGGACACAAGGAAGAGGTAACTATCAGGAGGAAGTAGGAGGGGAGATGTTGCATTGTGGTAAATTGTGGTCAATGTCATGAGACAAAGTGTATGTGAACTGCTATATGGAAAGTGTATTTGCTTGTACATTTTCACCCAAATCACACACACACACACACACAAAAAGGCCATGAGAACAAAAATATGACCTTAAGTACATCCCACCTAAATTTAGAGACCATCTGAAGAATATATTTGATGCACTGAATATCAATGACTGCAAGACCAGACTAGCTGTGGGATGACATCAAGGGCATCATACAAGAAGAAAGCAAAATGTCATTAAAAAGACAGGAAAGGAAGAAAAGACTAAAATGGATGTCAGAAGACACTGAAACTTTTTCTTGAATTAACAGTAGCTAAATCAAATGGAAGATATGATGAAAAGTGCTGAACAGATTTCTAACGGCAGCTTGAGAAAACAAAATAAAGTATTACAATGAAATATGCAATGACCTGGAGTTAGAGAATCAAAAGGGAAGAACACACTCAGCATTTCTAAACTGAAAAAAATGAAGGAAAAATTTAAGCTACGAGTTGCAAAACTGAAGGACTCTATGGGCAAAATATTAAATGATGCAGTGTGTTAGACTGGGTTCTCTAGAGAAACAGTAAAGCTTATATATATATATATATATATATATACACACAATGGCTCACACACTTATAGAAGCTCACAAGTCCAAAGTTCTTGGATCAAATGTAAAGCTGGAGTCTTTTCCCGACTCTTGCAGCTGCAGGGGCCAAGGGGCTCAAGGTTGGCAGGCAGTATACTAGCTGTTGACCCCAACGAATGACGAATCCAAGGTCTCCAGGCTGAACGGTGGATTGTTCACTCACGGACAGTTGTACACAGCACAACAGAATCCCAATCCACAGAAGAATGTCTCTTTTCCCAGGATGTCCATAAATATACTGGAAGCAGGCTACACCCCTAGGGAAACTCCCTTTCAACGGATTGCCTGCCCAAAACCTATTCATCTCATCCCATCATGGGAATAACCACATCACAACTGCTTAAACCACACAGAATTGTGGTCCAGCAGAGTTGACACACAGCTCCAACTATCACACGCAGGAAGCATCAAACGAAGATGGAATACAGAGTCACTGTACCAAAAAGAATTGATCGATATTCAACCATTTCAGAACGCAGCATATGATCAAGAACTGATGGTATTGAAGGAAGAAGTCCAAGCTGCACTGAAGGAACTGGCAAAAAACAAGACTCAATGTATTGATGGTATATCCGGAGATGTTTCAACAACTGGATGTAGTGCTGGAGGAGCTTACAGGTTTATTGCAAGCAATTTGGAAGACAGCAACCTGGCCAACCGACTGGAAGAGATCCGCATTTGCACCAATTCCAAAGAAAGTTGATCCAACAGAATGTGGAAACTATCAAACAAAATCATTAATATCACAGGCAAGTAAAATTTTGTGGAAAATAATTCAAAAACAGTTCCAGTGGTATATTGACAGGGAACTGCCAAAAATTCAAGCTGGATTGAGAAGAGGGCATGGAATGAGGAATAGCATTGCTGATGTCAGATAAATCTTGGCTCAATGCAGAAAGATGTTCACCTGTATTTTACTGACTATGCAAATGCATTTGATTGTGTGTATCATAACAAATTGTGGATAACATGAAAAATGGGAATTCCGGAACACTTAATTGTCCTCATGAGGAACCTGTAAATAGACCAGAGGCTGTCATTTGGACACAACAAAGGGATATGGTGTGGCTTAAAATCAGCAAAGGTGTGTGTCAGGGTTTTATCCTTTATCATACTTACTCAATTTTTTACACTGATAAAATAATCTAAGAAGCTGGACTGTATGAAGAAGAATGTGACATTAACAACCATGATATGCAGATGACACAACCTTGCTTGTTCAAAGTGAAGACGACTTGAAGCACTTACTGATGAAGACCAAAGACTACAGCCTTACTCTGGATTACAACTCAACATAAAGAAAACAAAAATCCTCACAACTAGACCACTTAGCAATATCATGATAAATGGAGAAAAGATTGAAATAGTCAATCTTTCATTTTACTTGGATGTACAATCAATGCCTATGGGAGCAGCAGTCAAGAAATCAAATGACATTATGTGCAAATCTGCTGCAAAAGAACTCTAAAGTGTTGAGGAGCAAAGATGTCATTTGGAAGACTAAGGTGCACCTGATTCAAGCCTTTGTAGTTCCAGTAGCCTTATATGAATATTATGGCTGGACAATGAACAAGGAAGACTGCAGAAGAATTGATGCATTTGGATTGTGGCACTGGCAAATAATTTTGGATGCTCCAGGAACTGCCAGAAGAAACAAACAAATGTGTCTCAGAGAAAGAACTGCTGGAATGCTCCTTAAGTGGGAGAATGGCTAGACTGTGTCTCCTGGACTTTGGTCATGCTGTCAGAAGGGACCAGACGCTGGAGAAAGATACCACACTTAGTAGAGAGTCATGGAAAAAGAAGAAGACCCTCAATGAGATGGACTGACCCAGTGACTGCCACATCATGGGCATGGCAATGACTGAGGATGGCGCAGGAGCAGGCAGTGTTTCATTCTGTTGGACATAGGGGGTTGATGTGAGTCAGGACCAACTAGATGGCACCTAACAACAAATATAATCTAGGAGTATAACTTGGTGGCGCAGTGGTTAAGAGCTCAGCTGCTAACTGAAAAGTTAGTTATTTAAACCTGCTAGCTGCTCTGTGGCAGAAAGATGTAACAATCTGCTCTGATGAAGGTTGATGGCCCTGGAAACCTGATGGGGTAGTTCTAATCTGGCTTATAGGGTCACTATGAGTCCACATCAACTTGATGGCAATGGATTTGCTTGCTTTTTTAGTATAACCTAAAAGGCAAAATTGATAGGTACATAGAATGGAAATATCGTAAGCTGTCCTGAGTGGTGCGAATGGTTAACATGCTCGGCTGTGATCTGAAAGTGTGGCAATTCAAATCCAACCAGAGGCATATCAAAGGACTATTAATCTATTTTGAAAAGCCCTGTGGAACACAGTGCTAATCTGATGCGTATAGGGTCACCAGGATTTGAAGTCAACGCAATGGGAACTGGTTTTATGAATTGAAGGACCATGGAAATATTTTAAAAGGCAGTAACTCTGTTTAAAAATTTTTTAAAGCTGAAGGTTATCAATTAAATACACATGCAAGTGTGAAGTCACCTCTCATTTTATGTATAAAATGTAGACTCAAGAGTACAGCAATATCAGTAAACATACCAACTGTTTAGCTTGTGGTAAATGTTTTCACAAATTTGATTTCCAAGCAAGAATTTCAAAGAAAGAAAAATGAGATGGAAGAGGAAAGGATTTGTTTTTGTCTCAAGCTCACAATCATCGGTTCTCAACTGTCACTGGTTTAATTCATCTAGGCAGCTTTATACAAGTTTTGCAAGCTTTCCACTTCTTCAGTAATACCCATTTGTGACAAGCCCAAGCTACTGCACATGCTCACGATCTGTGATTTCCTTACTTCAAAGGAGAAGGCTGTAAGCTGGGGCTGATGCTGCTCTTGGGTAAACCCAAGGAAGCCATGACACCTCCTTGGTCTCATGTCTTGCCACAGTTCCAGGTCACATATCACAGGACCCCTTTGTGGCTCCAATAAGCAGCTCTGGTCTCCTCTCTAAGCACACTGCCCCCTGCCTCCAGAGAGCCCCTTCAAATGGTCTTTTGGAGTGGTGGGCTCATCTACCTTTAATTACAATAAATAATTTCCACTCTGGAGAAAAACAATCTTTTTAAAAGTAAGCTGTCCTTTTTACTCTGCGCAGTTAGCTAAAAGAGAAAAAGAATAGAGAAGGAATTCCTTAGAAGAAGAAACTCTGTAATGGAGGAGAAAAATCACAGAACCGACACAGAATGGAAATAATTGGGAGAATAAAGTGAAATTCTAATTACTGTATGGCATCACAGAAGACAGACAACTTCAGTTGAAAATTAAGTTTATTTCTGGATATACCACATTAAAATAAATGCCATATTTGTTCAGAATATCACAAACAATGCAAAAATAGAACTCTTCTCTCCTGTAAAAGTTAGGAAAATACTGTAGGCTAGATACATGATATTTATTCAAGTCTTCAGTATTATCTTCCAAAACATAAAAACTACAGTTAAACATCCAATTTACCATACAAAATATACACAAAACAAAAAAACACAAAATGTTTTACAAAAGCATTATTGTAGTGTAGAAAAAGGAACTTAATAAAATACAATTTAAGTAATTTACTTCACACAAATGTATTCTATTTTTTTTCAAGAGCTTCACCAAGTAGTCGAATAGCGACACTCTTTCCTTCGTCTGTTTGAATGACTAGCAAAGCTTCAAATGTGCCCGCCAACTGGGGTTTGAACTGCACTGGAATGTTGATGTAGTGCTGGGCTCTGTAAGAGAAAGGAGAACATCAGCAGCCCAACAGTAGTTTACACAGCAAGCAAACAGCCCTATACCAGCAGTGCTCCTGGCATAGAGGGCAGCAAGTTTTTGATCACAGAATCCAGTCAAGTTATATTCAGCTTAAATTTTTTTTATTTCTCATTTCTTGGATGCTAATATTTAACAAGAAATTGGCACACATCTAAATGCAACGATGGGTCTCTCCTCGTCCTGAGCAAAGAAGAATGAAGAAAACCAAAATTCATGGAAACAATTAGTTGTAGCAACTGGTACACCATCCAATCTGCAGCCTATATGACTATGAGACCAGAAGAACTAGATGGTGCCCGGCTATTACTGTCATCCACTTGGAAGGGGATCTATGTAGGAAATCCTTGATAGAGAGGAAGAACAATATGGAACAAAACTCAAAATCATTTGGAGAAAAAAAAAGGGGGGGGGGC